TTTATGAGTTTGAGAAATGAGAGGGTTAGGGAGTTTAAAAGATTGGACCTTTTGAGAAAGAGAAGTAGTTTGGAAGGCAGAGGGTAGCTTGTATGAGGAAGAAGAAATGGCTCTAAGAGCAGCAGAGGCTGAGGAAACAGTGGCCATTGCGGAAGAAGAAATGAACTATTTGTTGGTTCTAGTGGTAAAACAAAAGACTTACAAGAAAGTTGAATAAGGTTGTTGTTGAGACTGATGAAATGATCGTCGGTGGGGTGATCTATTATATAGAGTGGTGAGGGGGTCCAATTTCCATGTGTGGAAAATGGGAATTGATTCCGTGTTCGTTATCCGCATTAGAATTTAACTATTTTTGAATTCACATCGCATACAGAGGCGTATTTAAGGGGGTCATCAAGTTCACGTGAATCTATGGTCCCCTTCCGAGATCATATATAGTAGTGTTATATTTTTAAAAAAATATTGAAATATAGATGTGTGAGCTCACACTTAAAGTATCACATAATACGATTATGATCGGGTGTACCTCTCTCCGCGAGGTTAGAAATTTAAATTTTATATTTATCTTGTTTTATTTTTCTTTCTAAAATTAGATAACACTTCTCTAAGTGGTAGTTGGTAATACATATATATATATTAGAGCTATAATTTTAAAATTTTAACGATTTTCAGTAGTAAAAACCTAAATGTCAAGATCAAATTTATATCATAGATCAACCTTTTTATAACAGTGCACCCATCATCTTAAAATCCTGAAAATGCCTCTGATCGCATAGGGTCCCATTTGGGAGGAAAACACTATCTACCAAAAAAAATTTCACATTCAAAACTCAAATATGAAATCTCTAATTAAGACAAGAGCAACCTCATCCACTATTCCGCATTAATACTAATTATAAGATGTGTGATTGATTATATTGATGGACGGTGTTAGATGTGATGATGGGAGTTTGTGTGTTTTCACAAGTTGAACACTCCCCAGTCCCTAATTATGTGTTCATTTATTCCTTTTTAGTTGTATTTAATTATTTGTCAATTTTGATAAATTAAGAAATAATATTTTTTTACTTATTATATTCTTAATTAATTATTTTGAAAAATGTATATATTCTTGAAAAATTCAATTCATCTACTTTGTAATTAATATGAGTAAAATAATAAATTTATTATGCTAATTATTATTTTCTTATTAGGTGTGTTAATTTGAAAATGGATAAATAATTAAGGAAAAATGTATTAGGGAATAGTCAAAGAATATACAAGAATGTTATGGCCAATGTGAGAAAAAGTGGCTACACGTGTTTCTCCTGTCTGTGCTGTTTTTTGAAGTGGCCAACGCAACTATTCATTGGTGGTCTCTGCGGCTCTGCCTACCTTATATGTTGTGACTTCTTGCCTTCTAATAATTCACACCTCTCCGTCCAATTCTTTTTAGTAAAAATTACAAAAGTATCTACGTACTTTAATTAACAATATACAAACATAACGGATAAAATAATTTTTTATTTTAATTATTTATTTTCGATTTTAGTATCTCTTTTTTTTGGAATTTTGTATTTTTGGGGAATGATAATCATGTATTAATTTTTCTTATATTATCTCACCAATTACAGTTTTTATTGTGCTTTGCACATAATTTTTTACTTTTTCTGCCTTTTTGATTCAATCGATGTGAAAAGTAAAAATTTTTTTATCTTTAGTTTCCAAGCAATTGTTATTTCCTATGCACTTCTATGTTCTTGAATTTTTTTTAAAAACTTCTCTCTTCCGTCCGGGTTCTTCTTCTCTCTCCGAGTTCTGTTCAGCTGCATGTTTCATCACTTTCAATAGGTTTGTTATATTTTACCTTTAGGGGTCGTTTGGTTGGGAATTAATTATTATAAAATTAGTTCAGAGTTCATCTAGAATTGTAATCTTCCAATAAAAGATTACTTTTATCATCTTCAAACTTTGTTCCATCTGGTTTCACTAGCTTTACCTCCAAATCCAACTCTTACATAGGTAATTCAATTTCAATTTTGTAATTTGATGAAGCATTAATTTTTTTGAAACCCACAATTTTGGAATGACAAAAAGCTGGTGGGTGCAGTGAAGGTGAGGAATCCAGAGTTTTTGAATGGAGTATGAAAGCGGTAGAGACGCACGCTGAGAAACTTGAATCGGAAATCGGAGATTTCTGGAAGCTTTTGTTACTCGCACTTTGGTTAGGGTTTCCTTAATTTGGGTCTTAAAGTGGGTTAGGATAAAATTGTTTTGGGTTTCGAAATTTGGATTTAAGAAAAAAATTTAAAAATCGGGTAACTTATTGAGATGGTGCCACGTGTTTGTCCGTTTGATTAAAGGGTATATATGGTCCAAAAATACGACGGTAGGTATACATACGATCTTAAAATATAATAGAGGATATATACATACCATTTTTTAAAGTTCGGATATATTTGACCTTTTTCCCAATAATAATAACTGAATTTGTCCAATTCTAACCAAGTTTTAGTTGATTTGTTTTTTTAATTGGAGTAATTTGTTTAGTTGCTAACTAAGCTAGCATTTGACCATAAATTTTCAAATATTTTTGGCAAATATTATTTGAGTGAAGATTTGGGTGAAATTTCACCATGTGTTTAGTCATAGTATTTGGGAAACATATTTCATTTTTTAAGAAATATGATTTATACCCATAAGTTTTTAAAACTATCAAAACTAACCATAAATTTGTATTACATAGCAAAATAGAAATGTCACGTAGCAAGATTCATGACTTCCGCAACAAATCAACAAGCATCATTACAGTAAATATTCGCATTGTTATAAGAGCCTAGTACAAATCATGATAACGAAAATACAACTAATATGAATTTGAAAAAGAAGGAAATAAATATCGTAATCACTGAAGCACCTCTCCCTGCCTTCTCTTCCAGAAGAGTTCAAACTATTCTTTAATATAATCTTCTCACATTCTATGAACAATCTCTTCTCGATGAGCTTGCATTTGCAAATAAGATGATCGAGAAGATGAAGCGATGTTACCCTTATTCGTCATTTTCATCAACAATCATATCATCACTTTCATATTCACTGAATATTCCATCACTGTTTTGGTGTTCACGTAAAAACTCATTGAGTTCAAACTTTCATCATCAAACTTATCTCGATTTTCAATTTTCTCAAAAAACTCATTCCTAACTTCTATCAATCGTGGACCAATGATGGCATAACCTTTAAATCCAGACTTCCTCGCATCATCATGTAGGACACTTATAAGGATTGATGTTTCTTCATCGGTCCATTTATTAGTAGCTGAACCACGTGATTTTTTTTATTTTTTTTGTGTTTCTGCAATACAACATCAACATGACAACACATCATATGCATAACTTAGTTTTTTCTAGTCTTTAACTAAAAATGAAAGACGTACGTTGCACCAGTCGAATGATAAAATAAACACAAGGAGAAAAGATTCTTATCATTCATAACTCTTAAAACCTAGACAAGGGAACAAATTCATACAAATCAATTCAAGCAAGATCAATCTAAAGAAAATTCATACATATATGCTCTTTATAATAGAAAAGTTTATTAATTGAGTTAGTTGGCAGATGGAGAGTTAATTGAGTTGGTTGATGTTAATAAATAGAGTGTTTTTGTAAAAGATAAAAGTTTGGTGTTAAATTTAAATTTTTAAAACTTTCCAAATAATGAGATTTGGCCCAAATACTAGAAAAAACTAGTATTTGGAAATTTGAATTATTTGCCAAAAAAATTTGCTAAATAATGAGAAAGTGTATGGACAAACAATATTTGCCAAAAATTTTCCCAAGTTTTACTTGGGAAATCTATGGCCAAACGGGCCCTAAACTTTTGTTTGACGGATCATATTTTTATAGAATAAATTATAGGAACCACATATTATAAGTACTAAATAACATCCTATCCCTTCTAGTTTTCTATTTACCAAAAATCCCTTAAAAATGATGTTTGCGGGATACATAGCGTTATGCACGGGATACATTAGGTTTGATACATTTCACATAGCGGGATACATAGCGTTGTACACGGGATACATTAGGTTTGATACATTCCACATAGCGGGATACATAGCGTTGTGCACGGGATACATTAGGTTTGATACATTCCACATAGCAGGATACATAGCGTTGTGCACAGAATACATGCGGGATACATAGCAGGATACATAGCGTTGTGCACGGGATACATAACGTTTGATACATTCCACATTGCGGGATACATAACGTTGTGCACGAGATATATAACGTTTGATACATTTCATATAGCGGGATACATAGCGTTGTGCACGGGATACATGCGGGATACATAGGTAAATAAGGGATTTTAAAAATAAGTAGGGATAAGTGGATATTAAGATAAGTAAAGGAGTGTAGTTAAATAATTTGTCCATTTTGGTATATGCTAAGTTTGCCACAAAGACAAGGAGGTTAATCTTTAAATTTGTCAGGAAATGGAGCAAATGCTCATTTGAATAGAATACATATTAGATATGCTTATATAGATTCAAACTTCAAAGGTAAAAAATATGTAAAGATACACAATTAAAGCTAAATTAGATCTAACCACAAATTTGAGTTAAATCCCAAATTGTTCTCAAGAATCCAATGAACAGCCTAAATAATTAAGATAAGCAAGAAGTAAATTACCACTAAAACATGATGTAGTGGAGTCTACAAGCAGAAGTAAGATAACCTTAGAACCTCTCAAAGGTATATAGGGTCTACAATAAGAAAGATATTTTTTTTGTTGTATGTTATTTTGGTTCTTGAAATGCATTAAGCAACAAGAACACAAGAAAGGCAAAAACAATTAATTACTGTCCAATCTCCATTTGCTCTGCTCCAAGATATATGCCCAAATGGAAGACAAATGAGTGAAATCAGTTAGCAATATGTGTTTGTGTCTAAATTATACTGATCACTTTCTTTTCATTACAATCGAGTCTAAACAGGCCAAATTAAGGCCTTATAAAACTAAGCAAGAGAGTTTCTTGAATTAGTGAAGTTCATACCTTCAAGGACCTCAGAGTACACATTGGGATACTCAGCCATATATTTCATAATAATGGTTATTGCAGCGTTAACCGTGCTATAGCCGCCTTGTAGTAAGCCTACAATGTAGCTAGCAATATCGGACTCGTTCAAAAATTGTTCTTGCTCATTTGTCGCCTGGAGTATCTGAGACAAAATGTCTTCTGGTGCAGCAATTTTATTCTCTGATAGATCACTTTTCCTTTGATTGATAACATCTTGAACCTCTTTGCGCATCTTTTGGGATGCTCGGTTGAAAGTTGTTCCTGGTAGATGTATAGGCATAGAGAGCAGACCAGTGGAAATGTCTTCAATATACTTGGACAATCTTTCAACTTTCTTTGTGCCATCGAATAATTTGCAGGCCAATGAGAATATGTACTTCCTAACAGCAGGTAAAACCTTAATTTGTGGACAGTTCCAGTCAGTCTGAAGATGGCACCTCAAAATTGCATCTGCTACACTTGCAAATCTTTGAAGAGACACTGATCTGAGAGGGGCTGATAGCAATTTGCGCGTGCTTGCAAAGTCTTCATGATTAGCTTTCTGATGAGTCTTAGGAAAGATTCTGATCTGAGAGGGGATGATACCATTGTTCTTGAAATATAGTATAAAAGAAAAGAAAAGAGGAGACTGTTACCAAGAAGGAAAACTATAAAGAGGAATTCCATTGAAGAACACAATGGAGGTAGCAAGAGTTTTGCAAAAGCATAATTTTAAAATGTCAAAAGAGAGACACATTGTAACATGACAACCAGATTCCACGCTGGAGTAAAGCATTGTTAAAACTTTTAGATTATTCTCAATATATCTTGATTAGTTTGTATTAATCAATCAGTTTAGAATGTGAAACATGAAAGGAGACTCTTTATGATCCCTGATAATTAGGCCATGTTACTACATAAGAATGTGTGCGTTCTGAATTCTTTATTGATCCAAACATTAAGAAAACCTTGCTTGTACCTATATAATTCAGCCTCTCTTTGTACTAAAGAAATCGTGCAAATTACCAAGCAATATAAGCATAAGAACACCAAGCTTATCATATATGACAAATCACAAAACCACTGCAAACGCACAATATTCATTACTTTGATTTGTATGTAGAAAAAACATGCTAAACTAAAACAAGCCAATAAACAACAAAAAGAGAAAAACTTGAACTATTTCTAGCAACTTCAAAAGATTTATATAAACAGAGAATAAGATGTTGGGAGAAATGTGAAATTTGACCAAGGAAATGACAAAATAAACATCTTTTATCTTTGATTCAGAATCACAAATTTCATCTGTTGAATCTCCTTGAAGCTTCCATTCCCTAGTGAATCAACAAGCAGTCGTTGTAGTATAGTGGTAAGTATTCCCGCCTGTCACCCGGGTTCGATCCCCGGCAACGGCGTACATTTGTCCTTTTGGACAAAAATATTCACATGAACAATTAAGCAACATTCATATTTAGAGATAAAGCTCAAAGAATTGAAAGAGCTCTAATCCCTACCATGTCCTTGCATGAAAAATAAAATGTGTACAATTAAAGATAAATAATCATCTTAACAAGATCATTTTTGCCGATGAAGAACGAAATCTGTCATAGCAAGTAGTGGAGCTGCCTTCTCTGGATCAAAACCAACAAGCTGCTCCTTGGCCTCCTTGCTAACATTTTGAGCATATTCTTTGGACTTGTCAATGCCAATCATCTTTGGGTACGTCAATTTGTTAGCCAACAAATCCTTCCCCCCTGTCTTTCCTAATTGCTCAGAGGATTTAGTAACATCAAGAATATCATCCACAACCTGATACATCAGTCCAAAACACTGCGAGAATTTCCTAAGTCTATTAATCTCCTCCTCAGATGCACCACCAACCAATGCTCCTACAATGACCGCGGCCTCTGTAAAATCCGCTGTCTTGTGACTATGAATATACTTGAGCTCTTCTAATCCAGTATCAGATTTATCTCCACACAGCAAGTCAAGCACCTGGCCAGCCACTGCCCCCTCGGGTCCTATCAATCTTGCTAGTTCTCCAACAGCACGAACCATTGTTTTTGGGTGCACCCCTTTAGTGGTTGTTGCCATATGCTCAAATGCTAAGGCAACAAGTGAATAACCAGCTAGAACAGTGACATTTTCACCAAAAACCTTGTGATTTGACAGCTTTCCTCGACGGAGATCACCATTGTCCATGCAGGGAAGGTCGTCGTGCATCAGACACATAGAGATTATCATCTCCATTCCGCAAGCAGCAGGCATCACCGTTGATTCTTGGCCACCAACAAGCTCACAGGCGGCTATGCAGAGTACAGGGCAAACCCGCTTGCCTTCAGAAAGGAGTGAGTATCTCATTGCTTCATGGAACTTGATAGGCTCTCTGATTGGAACAGCAGCATCTAAGGCTTGATTGACAGATTTGATCTTTTGAAGCATGTAACTTTTGAAATCAAAGACACTTATTGTCTTTCCAGATTCTCTACATATGTTTTCATGTTTGATAACTTCAGATTCATTCTTGGAAAGATCTGTGCTATTACAAAAGGATCTTGCTTTTGGGAGGAATATAACTTCTGTTGTTTCCTCTGAAGAAAGAAGCAACTTTGTTCCTGCAGATCTGGATCTTTTTGGAGTACCTCTTGTACTAAGTTTTGCAAGATTGTGGATTACTCCTTTTCGCATAGACATGGCTCTTAACTTGAGAAGTCTGCCAATCTTTTTCTCTGATCTGGTGAATTACTATCCAGACTGGAATCCTCAAGCCAAAATTTTTATGGGACCTTGCTATAACTCATGAGTTGGCTCTTTGGTATTTTGCTCATACCTATAGAGGATGAGTGGAAGATTTTATCCACATAATGGTCTCACTCACATGACTTTAAGAAAAAATTGATTTCCAAAGTGAATGCCACGAAGAAAGTTATAACTCCTACATTTAAAAGGCAGATCCAGTTGGAAAGTAAGCCAAATTTTTTGGCACATTCATAATTTATAAAAGCTTTAAGTTTGAATGAAGTAGGGGAAGTTGACAAAGCACCAACCAAAGCTATACTCATTAATTATATATGACAAAAATGCAGAAATATTTTATGAAACTGAAGGCATTTCCCCTTTCTCTTCTCGTCAGTAAAGATTCTTCATTGCCAAAGATATGATGAAAATGGTAAGATCTTTCTTTTGTGGCCATGAACCATCCAGATATATCACTTGCACTAACTTGATTCTAATTAATAAGAAAGGGATTAGTACTTTTTCAGATTTGAGGCCTATCAGTCTTGACAATTTTACAGCTAAAAGGCTAGTTCATTTGCTACCTGATCTAATTTCTCCTCAACAAGCTGGTTTTCTTAAAGGAAGAAGTATTGTAGAAAATATATTACTTGTATAGGAGATTGTCCATGATATGAAATTGAGGAGTAGACCAAGCAATGTTGTAATAAAATTGGACATGGCAAAGACATATTTTCGTGGTTATTTCGAACCAAAGTTCCGAAGAAAGAGGTATTTGGGAAGAGACTCATTTACATGGTGTATAGAATTATCTCTAATAATTGGTATTCCATTTTGATCAATGGGCAACCATGTGGTTTCTTTCAAATAAACCAGAGGAGTAAAACAAGGTGATCCTTTTCTCTATCACCAACTCTATTCATTTTGGCCTCAAAATGCATGTCTAGGGCATTAAGTGCATCACACTCAGATCACGGATTTGCTGGATTTGGCATGCCAAAATGGAGTCCAGACATAAACCATCTGACTTATGCTGATGACACTATTGTATTTGCCTCTGCTAATGAAGAATCACTAATATTGATCATGAATACTCTCTCAACATATGAAATAGTAAGTGTTCAGAAAATGAACAAAGGCAAGATTGCAATCTTTCTTCATCACAATGCGAATCACGAAATAGAAGCTAAAGTGTCTGAGATTACCAGAAGATATTAATAGCATACTATAAAGAGATCACAGACAAGGTTTATAATAAACTCAACTAATGAACAGGGAAGCTACTTTCTATTGGTGGGAGGGTAACGCTCATTAAACTTGTGCTACAGATGCCTATACACTTGCTGTTTTCCCTAACTTGAGGATCAGATCATGCAAGAGATAAAAAGCTGGAACCAAAGATGGAAGGAGGCCACTGTTTATCATGAACAAATTCCTTATTGGGAGGAGAACATGATAAACAAACTTTTAACTAATCTGGTTTCTTTGGTTGCATGCAGACCTTCAAGGAAGACAAAGAACAACAGCACAAACATGGACACATACAAAACAGTACAGAAACAAAACTGGTGTAATGTTTCCTGGATTGGTTCAGTACAACAAACCTCTAAATTGGACTGGCTCAGCAGAGAGGAAACATGCTCAGCTATAGGAACTCAAGAACCAAAATGCAGACACCAATACAACAGACAGTACACAATAACAAGCAAAGAGAAAAGGAATGAAGCATCTACAAGAACCAAATGGGCTAGGCAACATGCAGTACAAATCACAGACCTAATCTCGATTTTACTATTAGGGTTGGTTTTCCACCATTATTCTATTGTTCAAAGATCAAATCTTTTTCACTGCAAATTTAAAAGAAAAGGCTCAATGTGGTTAACACAGTTTCAGACCGGAAAACAAAAAAGAAGATAGAAGCTCACTTACCGAGCATCGCAAAAAGCACAACATCGGGAACGAAGCATAGACAAACCTGAATGGAGGAATCAATCAACAATCGCAAAGAGCACAACATCTCTGTATTTCTTGAATGGTTGTTAAAATATAAAAAGGCTGTAGCTCTGACAAGCAGTCGTTGTAGTATAGTGGTAAGTATTCCCGCCTGTCACGCGGGTGACCCGGGTTCGATCCCCGGCAACGGCGTATTAATTCATTCTTTTTGTAATTTAAAAGCTTTAAACATATGAATTTATGAGTGAGTGCATTGTCCTTTTGGACATTAGAAAAGTCAGTTTCAGATGGACAAATTAAGCAGCATTCATGTTTCCAGATAAATCTCAAGGAACTGAAAGAGCTCTACTCCATACTATGTCCTTACATGAAAAATAAAATGTGCACAATTAATGTTAAATAATACAGGCATAATTATCCTAACAAGATCATTTTTGCCTATGAAGAACGAAATCTGCCATAGCAAGTAATGGAGCTGACTTTTCTGTATCAAAACCAGCAAGTTGTTCCTTGACCTCCTTGTTAAGTTTTTGAGCATATTCTTTGGACTTGTCAATGCCAATCATCTTTGGGTACGTCAATTTGTTAGCCAACAAATCCTTTCCCGCTGTCTTTCCTAATTGCTCAGAGGATTTAGTCACATCAAGGATGTCATCCACAACCTGAAACAGCAGTCCAAGACACTTGGAGAATTTCCCAAGTCTATTAATCTCCTCCTCTGATGCACCACCAAGCATTGCTCCTACAATGGCCGCGGCCTCTGCAAAGTCTGCAGTCTTGTGACGATGAATATACTCAAGCTCTTCTAATCCAGTATCAGAGTTACCTCCACACAGCAAGTCAAGCACCTGGCCAGCCGCTGCCCCCTCTGGACCTATCAATCTTGCTAGTTCTCCAACAGCACGAACCATTGTTTTCGGGTGTACTCCTTTAGTGGCTGTTGTCATATGCTGAAATGCTAAGGCAACAAGGGAATAACCAGCTAAAACAGTGACATTTTCGCCATAAACCTTGTGATGTGACAACTTTCCTCGACGGAGATCATCGTTGTCCATGCAGGGAAGGTCGTCGTGCATCATACACATAGCATGTATCATCTCCATTCCACAAGCAGCAGGCATTGCTGTTGATTCTTGGCCACCAACAAGCTCACAGGCGGCTATACAGAGTACAGGACAAACCCGCTTGCCTTCGGAAAGGAGTGAGTATCTCATTGCTTCATGGAACTTGGTAGGCTCTCTGATTGGAACAGCAGCATCTAAGGCCTGATTGACAGATTTGATCTTTTGAAGCATGTAACTTTTAAAATCAAAGACACTTCTTGTTTTTCCAGCTTCTCTGTATATGTCTTCATGTTTGATAACTTCAGCTTCATTCTTGGAAAAATCTGTGCTATTACAAAAGGCTCTTTCTTTTGACCGGATTATAACCTCTGCTGTTTCCTCTGATGAAAAAAGCAACTTTGTTCCTGTAGATCTGGATCTATTTGGAGTACCTCTTGTACTCAATTTTGCAAGATTGTAGATTACTCTTTTTACCATATACATGACTCTTAAAGTGTGGATTACTCCCTAATTTGGTGATTTACTATTTAACTTACTGACTTTCAAGCCAAAGCAGCAGGGTAGAAGCTATCTCATAATAAAGTCAAACATCTCTGGACTCACTCCATTTTGTATTACTAAAAATAGGGTTGGGATGAGTTCCAAATATACAGACTGGGACCCTCAAGCCCAAAAATATATGCCAACTTGCTATAACTGAATTGGCTCTTGGTATTTTCTTCATACCTTTAGAGGATGAGTGGAAGATGTAATCCACATAATGGTCCAACTGGCAGGACTTTTAAGAGAAATTGATTTCCAAAGTGTAAGCCACTAAAGAAAATTATCAACATTTAACTGGCAGATCCAGTTGGGAAGTAACTCAAAATTATTTGGGACATCCAATAATTTATAGAAGTCCAAGTTTGAATGAAAACTATACTAATTATATATGACAAAAATGCAGAAATGTTTGAATGAAGAGTAGAGAAAAGAGAAGTGGGAGGACCAATTACGATTCCTGTTTGGACTAAAAAAAATGAGCATGTCTCAGGTCATAGAAGTGCTGCAACAGCCAAAGAAGAGAAAAGAAAGACAGTAGAATAAGCTGCATATAAGACCTTATATCAAAGCAAGAAATAGACTTAACAACAAATGGGCAAATACATCCACAGAATGATGTGAATAAGGATTTATATCTCAGATATCAATTGAAAAACCATGACAGTCTTAAGGTGGAGAAGAAAAGAAATGTGTATTGGCCATTATTTCATTCAAGATGTTAGAAGTTTGAATCTTTAAATGTACACATTCATGTCCTTGCCTTGTACTAACTTCTTAAACTTTAAATATACAAATTGGTTGACCAAAAATTCATATATTCATTGTTTAATACTATCAGGAATCACTGAGAATCCTGTTGTTACAATTTAATTCTCTCTGTAAGCAATATAATTTGCAAGAGCAAACAATGGAGCTGCTTTCTCTTGATCAAATCCAACAAGCTGAGCTTTTGCTTCTTTGTTTAACTCCTCAGCAAACTCCCTAGACTTCTCAATACCTATCAGTTTGGGGTAAGTTACCTTATCAGCAACCAAGTCCTTCCCAGCTGTTTTCCCCAATTGCTGAGAAGACTTTGTGACATCAAGAATATCATCCACAACTTGAAATAACAACCCAATACATCTAGCAAACTTCCTTAGCTTCTCCACATCTTCATCTGGTGCCCCTCCTAATATAGCCCCTAGCACCACTGACCCTTCTAACAAAGCTGCAGTCTTGTGCAGATGAATGAATTCTAAATGCTTCAAATCAACATCAGAAATACCTTCTGAAATTATATCTACAACCTGACCAGCTACAAGTCCCTCTGACCCAATACACTTAGCCAACTCACCAATCACCCTCACAATTCTATCAGAAGAAACCCCTTTTGTTTGAGTAGCAATGTGCTCAAAGGCTAATGCAAGAAGTGCATCCCCTGCTAAAACAGCCACATCCTCACCATAAATCTTGTGATTTGTTGGTTTCCCTCTTCTAAGATCATCATTATCCATACAAGGAAGGTCATCATGAATCAAAGACATGGTATGAATCATCTCCACGGCACAAGCTGCTGGCATGGCTGTGGACTCAACCCCACCAACAAGCTCACAAGCAGCTATACACAACATGGGTCTGATTCTTTTCCCACCAGCAAGAAGAGAGTACCTCATGGACTCATGAATCTTGACCGGTTCCTTGATAGAGACTGCAGATTCCAAAGCCTTGTTGACAGAAATAGCCTTTTCAAGAACGTATTCTTTAAACTCCATTGCTTGTTTCTTGCTCTTGCTCTCCGCATCTGTCTGCTCCTTTGTGAGAACAGCTGAGACAGAAAGAGAAGAAGGGTTAGTGGAGAATTTCATCTTCAGATGAGGCATGAATCCGGGAGAGCAAAATCTGGATCTATTTCCAACGTCAGAAAGGGGATAATGGGTGTAACCCCAAGTTGTAATTGTTGTTGAAAAACTCATTCTTTCGATCTAATTTCTCAATTATTTAGGTTTCTCAAAGATAGAAAGGAGATTGCAATACTACAAGTTTAGGATATCCAAAGCAGTATAGAAGTCTCCAAACATCAAGGGTCCGCTCCATATCGGTCGGTTCGATTCGATTTTAAAGTTTATCAATTTGGCTTATTAATTATCAATTTGTAGAAATGCTAAATCATTATTGAACCATTAAGATATTGATTTATCGGTTCGATTATCGATTTAACCGTTAAGATTTGACACAAAAAAAAAATTGAAAATCATTTAGAAACAAGGTGAAAAACCAAATGAACAATGCACATGAGTTCACAAGTTACATCTTGCTCAAAAACAAACATTTTTACATTATAGAATAACCAAGTGTTTGAGACAACCATAAATAAAAGTAGGAAACCAAATTCTAAGTCAAATACTTTATATACAAAATAGTATAAATATAATTATTTAATTTACTATCAGGTTATCGGTTAACCCGTTAAGAAAAAACTTTAAACCGTTAAGAACCGATAAGCCGATAAGAAAAAAATCAAAATTGTTATCAAAACTTCTAAACCAATAACCCAATACTGATAAATCAATAAAAAAAAATTGATTCTAATTATCGATTTCGATTCGATTTTGAACAGCCCTAGGTCCACTACAAGATAGTGAAGAGACGCAACTGCATATATAAAAAAAAATATTCTTCAAGGTTTGCCGGTGAGTGCCTAAATAATTTGTGATCTCATACTCCTCTAACGAAGTAAGAAAAGAAACACTTCTAATTTTTTTTAGTCAGATTAAATCTGGATTAACACTGGAAAGCAGGATAAATCGTTGTCTAACATAGGACACTTCACATTGAGGGTAAACCGTAGATGACTTTGTACCTAGAAGGACTTGATACTACGTACTCGAACTTCAATTGAAACATCTAATTAAGAATGAAAAAATATTTGTCCCTCCACTTCAATCCTATTGTTAACAAAAAAAATATACTATGTTTGGTACTGAGAAAACTATATTAGTAGTAGTATAATTTTAAAAATATGTTTTCAAGAAAAACAAGTCTGTTACAAATATTTTAAAATAGAGATACAAGTTTCACAAATAGTATTTTATTTCTCTTCATCCTCTTACACGTCTCATTCCATTTATATTTCCTTAATCTGTCTCAATTATATATATAAAATACTTTTTAAATAGAGAAAAATTTAGAAATAGCAAACATAATAGACATAATAAATACTCTTAATTCAACATAATTAAATTTTAGTCTTGGTCGCATGAATTAAGAAATTAACTTATTTTTAAAAGTTGACGATGGAATTTTGACTAAATACAGTTAATTGTGATTTTGTTTTGTTTTTAGGTTGTTAATATAGCACGTCATTAAATTTGTACAATAAATTAGGAATGTGTCGAGGGTAAATTTGAGGAAAGGAATTACTATAGTAGCTTTCTAATTTTATGGAACATTTATTTTAGATCAATTTTCAAGGTTATTTGATACTCCCTCCATCTCACTTTATATGCCATTTATTTCTATAAATAGTTGATTCATAATATTTGTCCTTTCATAAAATCAATGCATAAATTGACATATTATTCTCTTTTTACCGTTGTAAGTTATTAGCATTGAAAACATACATTTGACCAACTTAGAAAAGTTAAGTAAATGATTCATGTTCATTGGTTAAATTAATTAATCAAATTAAATGAATTCATATTCATTGATTGAAAACTTGAGTTCCAAAAAAATTAATTAAGGGTAGAAGGGTAAAATTACATCATTTCTTAATGCAAGTGCAAAGTAAAAGGATGACATATAAATGGGACGGAGGGAGTACTACTCCTTTTGTCCAATAATATTTGTCCTGTATATTAAAAATAGCAAAAATCTTTTTGGCCAGAAAATTTAGCCAAAATTTGGCCAGAATGATATTTTATCTATGTTATTTTACTCTTTTAAACATTTTTATCCTTTTAACTTTAATAGTTTTTAACTAAAAAATGAAAAAAAGATCAGTTTATTTTAAAATTTAAAAAATATTATAGTTTTTTAAATTTTCTGGCCATTTAGCACTGCCCTTAAAAATAATTATCCAATTTAAAAAATTGAGAGATAATTTATCTTTTGTGTCTATTTTACCCTTGCTATTAAATGAGTATTATTTATCATCTGACACAATTTTCAGAACATTAAATTTAATAAAGTCAAAGGATAAATGTAATAATATAACCCTTAGACCATCTCCAACCCACCTCTATTTTACTCTCCATTTTATATATTTGGAGAGTAAAATAGAGAATGGGCACTCCAACCCCTCTGTATTTTAGACTATATTCTTCATTTTTAGAGAGTTGAATAGTAGTTCTCCAACTACGATTCACTCTCTCTATTTCACTTTTTCAATTTTTGATTATTATTTCTATTATTTTCTAATTAACATATTATTTTACATATAATGTCATTAATTAAATATCTAATATTCATAATTCTTTTTAAATGTAATATAATATTTTTAAAAATATATTATTTAATATATACTACTTTCATCCCGAATTAAAATAATTTTAATTTTTTTTCTAATTTTCATCTATAATTTTATTCTATTATTAATTTTCACTATAAAGAATGCACAAAATTAAAATGATAAGATGAAAAATTTAATTTAAAAATACAATACATAACATAATAGTTTAAATACAAGATAAAACACAATACAATGCATAACATAATAATAAATTTATCACAACAATAATTTAGTAATCCGGTAGGTCGTTTTCAAATTTAGCACTATACGGAAAAAAATTTAGGGTATGATGGTAGATGAAAATCTCCGGTTTCAACAATTTTTAGCTAGACATAAAAAAATTAAGGACAAAAATACTCATTTTGAACTCCGTAATGCATTAATAGAATATTTATGGGAGCAACGTAATAATTTTGAAAGTTGAGTGTTTATGTAATTGTATTTAACTTTTATTTAAATTTGTTCATTAATTTGTATATTATATAATATTTTCTTGCAATTTATGTTATTTAGAAATTTAAAATAAAATATAATTTTATATTAAATAATTTTTTAAAAAAAATATCACATGAAAATTATATAAAGTAATTATTTGGGAAAAAGAAAGAAAGGACTTATATTATGAAATAAGAAAATAAGAATGAAATAGAAATAATATTATAATATTGAAGAGAGAGAAAAATATATTTTTTTAGAGAGTAAAATAGAGAATTGGATTGGAGTTGGTTGTCTCAAAAAATAGAGAACTTTATATTTGGAGAATAAAGTAGAGTTTAGGATTGGAGATGCCCTTATTATTTATTATTTCTTAAGGATTGTCAAGTCAATAGTGGATAACTATTATTTGACAGAGAGTAAGAAAATTATGTATATTATTTAATTCAGAATAAAACAATAAAATAACTAATGTCTTCCAAATTAATACTTTTGAGTAATACAATTCTAATCAATTATCAAAGACACTCATAATTAAGATAATGTTTGTAGGTGACAAAATTTTCTAGAGCTAGTTTTAACGTGCGAATTAGTGGTGAAGCTAGCATTAGTTATGGGCTTATGGCTTGGGGTGGGGCATGGTATGATACATTATGGTATTTGAATATTATAATTTTGATATTTGATTTTTAAAACAGTATATTATTATCATACCAATTTAATTTGGTATGGTGAGATATTTTGAAGTTTGGTTTCGAAAATTTACGTTATGGTAAATTGATAATCATAGTTTGTTCAACTTCGACTAATGTATACTCATATAATAGAGTAGTATGACTCTGACAATTAAAAAAAGGTTTCAATTATATCATACTAATACATTACACATGTAGAAATATATATTCAAAATAAAGTACAAACAACTCCTTTTATTAATCAATTAAATTTCAAATTCATTTCAATAAAAATAGAGTAATCAAAATTTCAACTCCTTTTATAAGTTTATACCAATACTAGGTTGCATATTTGTTAGTATTTTAATAAACGTACTATATACTTTTGTAAATATTCGATATTTCGGTATGTTATTTCTATATACTAAATACCGTATCAAATACAAAAAAATGTATACCATATACCACATCAAATACTATAATATGAAAAGCACGATATTAAAATTTTTGATATAATATAATTATTCAAAATAAAGTACAAACAACTCCTTTTAGTAGTTTATACCAATACAATGTTGCATATTTGTTAGTATTTTAATAATATATATATACTAGTATGTTAGTACGTTACTTATGTAAGGTACCATATACTTTGATATGATATTCAATATTTCGGTATGTTATTTTATTTCTATATACTAAATACCGTATTAAATACAAAAAAAAAATGTATACCTTATATCATATCAAATACTATAATAACAAAAGCACGATATTAAAAAATTCAATATAAAATGATAATTCGATATTATCATACCATGCCCACCGGCCACCCCTACTTATGGCTCTATCTGGTCCTACCATTGGCTACTAAGCTTTATTGCTTCTTCCATGTTCTCCACTCGTACGTCTTTCCAATATAATACCCTTTTCCTTTTTCTTTTTAAACATTTCGTTTTTTAAATAATTATGATGGATGTGTATATTTTTTCTAAGCCAATGGTATTACGACATTTTCAATTTCTTACCAGAAAAATGCAAATGAAGTATGGTATCTTTCTATTTTCTTTCTGAAGTTGGGAGAGATTGTTATGGCAGAGATAACATTAAATATTGGATAAAAACAAAAGGAACTAAGTAAGTAATTACACGTCGTGATTTTTCTGTTTCACCTAATTATACTAGATAAGGGTGCCCGTGCAAGGCACATGCATATTGTGGGGATAAAAATAATTGTAAAGAAAGACGTGTAAATATGTAACATGATTAAAATAAATTTCACTGTTAACACATTTCATAGTATGTTACATATATTTTGTAGAATGTTATACATTGAACTTTCTATGAAGGCCAAAATACATACACTATATGTAGTTTAATATTTGTTGCATTGGCCTGGTAGTTGAATTTTGAATTCTGCAAACTCTCAAGTGTTAATATAAGTAGTTCTTCCAGCTTGAAACTTTTT